TTCCTGCTTGGCTTCGCTTTATCCAGTGCCTGCGCCGATACCGAGACACAAAAAGGGCCTTTCCTCATTTAGTTAATGCTGGGAAATACTCCACGACTTTCTTCACGGTGACGTTTGCAGCCCTTTACAGCACTCACAAAGGTATTCATTGATTGTGAAAAGATTTTCCAAAATCTGGATTTTCACCACTTGAATCTATTTCTTATTCTGGTTTCCTTTCCATTTGTCACGCTTCTTTTTTTTCCATTGATGCTCCAGTCCCCTCAGGTATACTACTTTGTTCTTGAACACAATTTTAGTCTCATTCCAGTATTTACTAACAAGTACCGTTAAAAAGAATCAAAGTCATCTGGAAGAGAAAGGATTTTGATAACGTTTGAAATCCTGAATTTGTTTAATGGGTTCAATCCAAGACACCTTGGGTTTTCATTTGGTTTTTTAGACTTCTTGTTCATTAATGAAGTTAGGAAATGCTATGTGAAGAAGATTCCCTCTGGCAATCATGTATATTTTTAATCGCTTTCCTTCACCAAGTAGTAAGGATTGTTTCCAGCCTGTTTAACTGCAAATTGAGTTCTCTGATCTCTCTAGTTTCTTATCTCCATGGCAACCAGTTATTACTTGAGACTGTTCTTCTGTTGGGAGGAGAAAAAGGCTTTTAGGTTCTGAGCCACATACAGGCACTCCTTTTGAATTTTTAACCTTCTCCTAAGAACTGTCAATCAAAGATCTCACTTCCTTTTACTAAAATGCCTTCCTTCTTTGTCTATTTAAATCAGTATTAGCCTACACCTTAGAGGCTGCACTCTCATCTGTGAGTGGTAAAGAAATGTTGCCAATTGAAATTATTACAATTATTTTTAGATACTTTGATAAAAAGTTCTTTTTCTGTGATTTTTTTTTTTTTTAATTGAGATGCTGTATTTAGGAGCCTTAGCTAGTGCTCCAGAACTGCTGCTGTGTGTCTGATGGTCTTGAAAGATTAGGGTGGTTGGTTTTTGTAAAGCTTGTGATTTGGTCCAGCAGAACACTTTATAATGTACTGCCACTTTTTGCAGTAGATTCTGTGATTGCAGTAATATTGGTAATGCAGCCAATAACTTTACCACTGTGGAGGCACTCTTGTTAAATGGTATGATTTAACTAAGTACCTCAGTGAAAGAAATACATCCTGAAGCTCCCTTAATTTTTTTTTTTTTAACTCCTCTCTCATGTGCACCTACTGTTTGGCTAGCTCCTCAGACTCTCCATTGTACATGCTTACCCATTGGTCAGCCTGGGATACTGGTAGATTTTGTACTCAGATTTTGCATTTTACCCTTTCTGCAGATCTCTCCCTTCAAGGATTACCCCTCTAAATTTCTAGCTGTTCCATCAACCCTGACTCTGTCCTGGAGGCAGTAAGACTGATTTTTCTGTGACTGGAGTAGAAAGAGGATATTGGGAGCACCCTCAGGCAAAAAGCCACAAACTCACAATTCTTACTCTTTATGCCAACATCTTTTCAAAGTAAGCTCAGGCTTTTTGCCTGCTTTTTGGTGGCTTTCCAGTGCCTTCTAATAGTTTTTTTTTTTTTTCCTTGAAGTATAATTGACTTAACAATATTATATTAGTTTCAGGTGTACAACATAGTGACTCAATATTTCTATATAATACAAAGTGATCATGATAAGTCTAGTTACTGTCTGTCACCATAATAAGTTATCATGATATTATTATTATTATTATTTTTAACATCTTTATTGGGGTATAATTGCTTTACAATGGTGTGTTAGTTTCTGCTTTATAACAGAGTGAGTCAGTTATACATATATATATGTTCCCATATCCCTTCCCTCTTTGTCTCCCTCCCTCCCACCCTCCCTATCCCACCCCTCCAGACAGCCACAAAGAACCGAGCCGGTTTCCCTGTGCCATATCGTGATATTATTGACTATAATTACTATGCTGTATATTAGATCCCCATGACTTATTTATTTTATAACTAGAATTTTATACCTCTTAGTCTCCCTCACCTATTTCACTCATCCCCTAACCCGCCTCCTTTCTGGCAACCACCAGTTTGTTCTCTGTATGTATGTCTGCTTCTGTTTTGTTATGTTTGTTCTTTTTTTGGTTTGTTTTTTAGATTCCACTTATAAGTGAAATCATATACTATTTGTCTTTCTCTGTCTGACTTATTTCACTTAGCATAATACCCTCTAGGTCCATTCATGTTGTGGCAAATGGCAAGATTTCATTCTTTTTTATGGCTGAGTAATATTCCATTGTGTGTGTGTGTGTGTGTGTGTGTGTGTGTGTGTGTGTGTACCCCCACATCTTTATCCATTCATCTATCAATGGACACTTAGATTGCTTTCATACCTTGGCTGTTATAAATAATACTGCAGTAAACACAGTGGTGCATATGTCTTTTCAAATTAGTGCTTTTATTTTCTTCAGAAAAATTCCCAGAGGTGAAATTGCTGGATTGTGTGGTAGTCCTATTTTTAATTTTTTGAGGAATCTCCATACTGTTTTCCATAGTGGCTGCACCAATTTAAATTCCCACCTACAGTGCACAAGGGATCCCTTTTCTCCACACCCTCTCCAACACTTGTTTTTCATTGTCTTTTTGATAATAGTCATTCTGACAGGTGTGAGGTGATATATCATTGTGGTTTTGATTTGCATTTCCATGATGATTAGTGATGTTGAGCATCTTTTCATGTGTCTGATGTCCGTCTGAATGTCTTCTTTGGAAAAATTTCTGTTCAGATCCTCTGCCCATTTTGTAATCAGGTTGGGTTTTTCTGCATGTTGAGATGTATGAGTTACTTGTATATTTTGGATATTAACCCCTTACCTCATATATCCTTTGCAAATATCTTGTCTCATTCAATAGGCAGCCCTTTCGTTTTGTTGATAGCTTCCTTCCCTGTGCAAATGCTTTTTAGTTTGATTAGGTCCCATTTGTTTATTTTTGCATTTGTCTCCCTTTCTAAGGAGACATATCCAAAAAAAATACTGCTAAGACTGATGTCAAGAGCATACTGCCTATGTTTTCTTTTAGGAGTTTTAATGTTTTGGGTTTTACATTTAAGTCTTTAATTCATTTGGGGTGTATTTTTGTATATGATGTGAAAAGGTAGTACAGTTTGATTCTTTTACCTATAGCTGTCCAGTTTTCCCAGCACCATTTATTGAAGAGGCTTTCTTTTCCCCATTGTATATTCTTGCCTCCTTTGTCATAGTTTAATTGATCATAAGTACTGGGCTGGCCAAAAAGTTCGTTTGGGTTTTTCATAAGCTGTTATGGAAAATCCGAATGAACTTTTTGGCCAACCCAATACATGGGTTTATGTCTGGGCTCTCTGTTCTACTAATCATGTGTCTGTTTTTGTGCCAGTACCATATTGTTTTGATTATTGTAGCTTTATAGTATAGTTTGAAATCAGGGAGCATGTTACCTCCAGCTTTGCTCTTTCTCAAGATTGTTTTGGCTATTTGCGAGGGGGGTGGTCTTTTGTGTTTCCATACAAATTTGGGTTTTTTTTTTTCTAGCTTTGCAGAAAATGCCATTGGTATTTTGATAGGGATTGCATCGAATCGGTAGATTGCCTTGGGTAGTATGGTCATTTTAACAATATTAATTCTTCCTATCCATGAAAGCTCCCCAAATTTTAACTCTTGGTGAAGAATGCTATTTTTCAGTCCAGGCATGCATCATGATTCAGAAGGTTGTTAATAGAGAATTTCTAAATCAGGCAATTAATTTGATACATGCTACCCTATGGCTTAATAACGCCTTACTTTTCTCCCATCCTGGGTAAAATTGAGTACTGGTTTTTCTTTTTTTTTTTTTTTTTTCTTTCGGTTGAATAGTTTAGGATATAATATCTTTAACTATACTGATACCATTCAGTAAGAAGCTGAAAATCTGAATTCCTCGAATCTGCAAACACTCCAGATCTGAACACCTAAAGCTAGAAGCAGTGGTTTGGATAGCATTGTCCTTAGATTTTTTGTTGTTGTTCATGTACCCATTCAAATAACCTTGTAAACTATTGATATATTACTTTATTATCTTTATTTTATTATTTTAAACTATATTACTTCTCAGACATTTTTAAGTTTATGTCTGAAATTTTTTGTCTTAAACTTAAATAATTACAAAAAAATCTTTTCCTATAAATTTTAAATATTCACATTTTTTTAAAAAGCTGCTAAGTGTTTCTACTAAGTGTACCCAGGTAATCTAAATATAAAGGCATTATACCATGATTTAATTTTTTTTAATGAAGCAGTTCTACAGTAGTCAGAAATTTTACATCTCTGTCCCATTGAACTTTATTTTAGTATAATATACTTTTGTTTTAATGACTTTTGTCTGATACATAGCATGTAAATTGAAATTAAATTATTAATTTCCTATTAGTAGGAAAATTAGTTACTAGGAAGATAAATTCCTATTATTAGGAAAAATACTTGTTAGAATAATTTTTTTCTTTCTGTGTTGTAATTATCATTACTCTGATTTTATCTATAGTTGTCAAAATAACATTACAAATTTTAATAATTATTACACATAAATATTTTTTTTAAAAAATTATTTATTTATTTTTGGCTGTGTTGGGTCTTCATTGCTGCACACAGGCTTTCTCTAGTTGTGGCGAGTGGGAGCTACTCTGTTGCGGTGCGCAGGCTTCTCATTGTAGTGGCTTCTCTTATTGCAGAGCACAGGCTCTAGGTGCACGGGCTCAGTAGTTGCAGCTCGTGGACTCTAGAGCACAGGCTCAGTAGTTGTGGCACTCAGGCTTAGTTGCTCTGCAGCATGTGGGATCTTCCTGAACCAGGGCTCAAACCTATGTCCCCTGCATTGGCAGGCAGATTCTTAACCACTGTGCCACCAGGGAAGTCCCAATATTTCTTAATGAGGTAAATTTATATTACTTATTACTCTTCCATTTTTCAGTTTTTATATAAGTAAATCCTGAGAAACTTTGTTAGCATTGCTATATACATAAGAATGGAAATTTTGTTGTTGCATTGTCCCTCAGTTTTTTGGACAAATTCTGAATTATATGCCCCCCAAAATTGCATAGTAAACTATTATTAATAATTATTTTTAGTGATCTATCAAGTTTTCTTTGTTGAAAGCA